TGGGTCTTGTCTTCCCCCATTTGCTGGAAGGGACTGTGTCCACCTCACCCTTGTATCCGAGGCCCGTGGGACGTGTGAGTGCTTGGGAAATGTTTCATGAATGGATAAATGATTGAAGGGAAGCTTAACTAGAGATGGAAATTATTTCTCTGAGAGAATTCAAGCAACTCCTCTGATATAAGAATTTGACCTTGCTATATCTGCCTCCCTGTTGGGAATATGTATATAGTTTATACACAAGCAGTAAAGTCTCTGGTTTGATTTAAATCAAATTAGCACAAGAACTACACAGTGAACTAAGCATCAGGTATGTAGTGAGACAATCCCAACTATAAATCCTGATTCCACCACTGATTGTGTGACCTCGGGCAAGTAAACAGGATCTCAATGGGCCTCAGGATCCTAATCTGTAAAATGGGAATAGTTTCCCACCTACCGCATAGAATTGTTATGAGAAATTAATGAGATACTATAGGTAAGTCACTTGGCACAATGCTTGACATATAACAGGTCCCGAAAAATGATGGTGTTTTTTAATAGTAAGCTTTCCAGGTAAAATAGAGATAGGTGGTTTTTCACAAGAGTTTTAATAAAAAAAGAAGAATTCTATTTTATTTGAGAAATGATAATAGATACAACATTCCTGGATTCTTTTCCCTATTTTAATGAATTAGGGATACACCAAATTCAATTTTTAAAAAATTATCCCAAAGGGACTAGGAAGCTTGATTTATATTTTCTTTACCAGTCACTTTTGTTTCATAATCCTGACATTTCCATTAAAATGCTATTAAGCAGAAACAGGATTTTACAGTATTTGTGATGGCTTCGATCTCAATGTGATAATTAGAATTATCTCCAGTAAAGATACCATTTCTCATTGTTTTATTTCCTCTTATATATCAGCTATATCTTTAGTGCCTTCTTCCAGTTGAGTAAAACCACTTCCCCCTGAATCTGTGGTCTTGAATTAATGAAAATGACATCTGTGGCTATGAAGGCCCTTTTCATCTTAGGTTATTAACTGGGATTCGGGAAGAATGAGAAATGGTAGTCTTCCAGTAAATGCAGCAACCCTTGAAAGAAATGTGAAAGGCTGTCACATAGAAGAGAAAGCAGACTCACTCTAGGTGGCTCTGGGGGCAGGATGGGATGCAGGAGGTGGACACTGGAGGGAGACAGCCTCTAGCATCCGTGGGAAAACCTGTCCAGTCTGACAGGTCCTGGAGGGGTGGGGTCCCCATCACCAGGGCCACCCAATCTAAGACCCCCACCCTGGACAAGGTGCTGATTACATGACCACTGGTGCTAATGTCCCTATCTACCTGGGTTCCAATTTTTTCTCTAAAATGACATCATTGTGAAAATGTTCTGGAACTAAACAGTGGTGATGGTTACACATTGTGAATGTACGAAACGCCACTGAATTGTACACTTTAAAATGGTGACTTTTATGTTGTATATATTTTACACAGTAAAAAAATGTGACATCACTGGACAGAATGAGCTCCAAAGCCACTTCTAGCTGCAACATTTTATTTTATTTTATTTTTTACTTTATTTTATTTTATTTTTGTCTTTTGTCTTTTTCCATGTCCGGCAACGGATCGCAACCTTCAGTGTTGCCCCCGTACCAGACCGGGGACCGGCAACGGGATCGCAACCCTCGGCGTTGCCCCCGCACCTCGCTCAGCCAGTGAGCGGGAACCGGTCCGCAAGTGGGATCCGAACCCTCGGGCGGGAGCACCGCCACTCTTCCCAAGCGGCGCACTTATCCAGTGCGCCACCGGGCCGGCCCCTAGCTGCAACATTTTATGCTTCTGAGAGGGAGCACATCACCCAAAGTACTGATCACTAGATTCTATTTAGTCAAATGACAAGCCAGGTAGACACTAAATATCTAGCTCAGAAAGAATCATTAAATACATTATGGTTCAGGCTTAATACAGAATACCACATCTGAGAAATTATTCTCATGAAAACATACTTAACACCATGGGAAGATAATTGTGATATAAAGGGTAAAAAGAAAGATTTAAAATATATGTAATGTAATCTTAACTAAAATATAGACAGGAAACCAAAACATTAGTCGTGTTTGTCTTTGAGGTGTGAGGTTACAAACGATTTTTACTCTTTTATACATTTCTCAAAATGTCTACCAAAGGCATGAATTACTACTATAATCTAAAAAACAAACAAACAAAAACCTCTTTGAAATAAAAAATAAATAATAGTATTTAGGATTTTGTAATCCTCGATATGAATTATGATGTGCTTTAGAATAACAGGTTGGTAAAACAGAAAGAGCTCTGGATTAGAAGAACTGATGTATAATTCCAGTTCGGCCAAGCCAAAGAGGTGCTACGCCTTGCTGTGCCTCAGTTTCCTCATCTGGAACAGGAGTGTAATAAGCACAGTCTACATCACAGTTGCATGAAGAGCAAATGAGATCACAAACGGGGGACAGCTTTGTAGAGTGGAGAGTTCTCTGAGCTATTTTCATTGTTACCGAGTGTATTTCCAAATCGTCCCTTTAACAAAAACATAATGAGTGCTTATAAAGTCAGCGACTGCCACTTATCCAGTAATTTAAGACCTAATTTCCAGTTAGAGTGTCGCTTTTTTCTCATCTTTCTTCCTATAACCTCAATGGGAAAACATTTCATTGCATCTGAAAAGTAACCACCTGACTTTCATTTGCAGTCTTAAGTTCAAGGTAATGATGACAAAACCGTTGTAGCTGGAGGAGGATTGTATCCCTGTGGGAACATTTGCCTCTCCCAAGGAATCGGGACTCTCTCTGTAGGGGGGAGCATTCATCTCCCCAGAACCCTCCACACTGTTGAACTTTCTGGTTCTGTCCTCTGTCTGTCCTTGCGTTGAGACCAGCTCAAGACCCACTTAGAAGGAGCTGTGCACAGGCCTTCTGGGACTTTTTATTTACACAGGGTGTTCTCTTCCCTAGAGGCTGGCTCCTTGGCCTGGCATGAAGAGAGGACCATTTGGGCAAGGCTGTTAAGCATGTTGCTTCTCTGTCAAACCTCCTTCCCACTTAAAAGGGCTTATGGGGTACAAAGCATCAAAACCTTGACATTTTAACTGAAGCTTATGTTGCCATTAAAAGCAAACTTAGGGCTGACCTGTTAGCTCAGTTGGTTAGAGCACGGTGTTTTAACACCAAAGTCAAGGGTTTGGATCTCTATTACGGCCAGTCGCCATAAAAACAAAACAAAGCAAAAAAGCTTTTCCAGTTTCAACAGATTCAATGAAACATTCCCCAAGCACCTAATACATATCAGGCCCTATAGAAATAGGGCTGAATAAGATGTGGTCTGTGCCTCCAGTGAGCTCACGAAACAGTAAGAGAGACGGCCTGTAAACCAAACCAAGGTGGCCATGGCCAGGGAACCGGTAAGTGAGCCCAGGGAGTGGGAGTGCAGCATGGAAGAGAGTCATCGGTGTGGTCAGGAGACATCTCAGTTTTGAAAGTGAACCAGAAGCGTACCAGGCAGCCAGGGCCAGGGGAGAGCAGACACGAAGACACCAAGGTGGCCCAGCCTTGGGACTGATGGCATGCTTGCTTGGAAATGGAAGCTCTGGGCATGAGGCCATTCGGTAAGGAGAAGGGACTGGCCTTGGTGTTGAGCTCAGTACCATGGGATGTTGTTCTGATTTTCCTGGATCAGTTAGTCTATTGGGCACTATTTACCAACCATGTGTCATGTGCTCAGGTTCTTTCTCAGGAATGGACATGACAGGTGGGACTGGCTCACACCTGGCTCAGCTCTGGGGCAGGACAGGAGCCAGGAAGGGGAGCTGAGCACGAGTGCAAAGAGAGGCATTGGGTGTGGAAGGGAGCTGGGCATCCAGGAGCCCCGAGGCGCTGCTTCCAGGCCAGGCCATGGGTGGCGAGGTGGGAGGGACAGTGTTCAAGGTCTGGAGGGAAACAATTTGCTGGCCAGGCAATGACTGGAAATGAGGAGGGCTGAGAAGAAACAGGAAGGGCCTTGAGCGTCAGAGGAAGAGTACAGATTCGGGAGTCCTAAAGAGGTTTAGCGAGTGAGTGACCTGGCCAGGTTTGCTTTAAAAGAAAGTGATTCGGGTGCCAGTATGGAGGATGGATCTACAGATGGGCAAAGCTGGAGGAAAGGGGCAGGAAGACCTGTTGCTACAGTCCAGGCAAGAGCTGACAAGGCCCAGGCAAGGGCAGAGCAGGCAGTGTTTTCAGGACTAAGGAGGTAGAACTGGCTGTGGAAGCAGAGGGAGGGGAGGGGTTGCCATTTCCTCTGATTTCACCTGCTTGGGTAGCTGGCAGAGGGTGGTGACACTCAAGGGGGTGAAGATTTGGGGTTAGGGAAAATTGTCTGTGTGTCTGGAGGTGAGAAAAGCATTCTGTGCTAGAGGAGAACATTTGAGCATTATTAGCTGCTAGTTTTCTTGAACAGCAGAATAATTTCAGAATAAAATATCTAGACTAAGGAATCACAATGCTATTGATCATTTTTTTTTGCTTGTTTGAATTCCAAATAAAAAAACAGTTAAGCCAGAAAACGTAATTATTCCTATTCCTAGAATTGGGTAACGGATGCATCTTTATAAATCGTTCATTGAACTGTGCCCATGGCTCCTTGCCAACCCTCAATGAGATTTTTATATTTCTTAATTATTCAATTGCTACCCTTAAGTAGGAGTTTGAAATCAAACTCAGACTGCTCCATAGTAGAGTATTGTCTTGAATCATGAGCACAGTGAAGGAAGTTTTCCATACTGGGAAACTGGATGGTAAAATACAGGAAAGATATTTCCAGTCCTGACACTGCCCTGGGTTCAAGTTCTGCCTTTGCTACACACTAGCTAAGTAAGCTTGGGTAGGTCAGTTTTCTGGTGTGTAAAATAAAAGTAGTGATGAATGCCTGCCTCCCAAGTTTGTTGTAAGTCTCAAGTAAAGGGGAACAGGCAAGGGAAAGCCTATATCATTAATTCCTTGTGTGCTTCAGGTCTCAGCAGCTTGAAAAACCATTAGCTGGAAAGGATGATCCTTTGGACAGTGAGTGGACCAGAGCCCCAGACTGCAACGCCAATCCCGAAGCCCACCTGCCCTCTATTTGCCTCAAGCAGGTATTCCCCAAGTATGCAAAGCAGTTCAACTACCTGCGTCTGGTGGACAGAATGGCAAATTTGTTTATCCGCTTCCTGGGAATCAAAGGGACAATGAAGTTGGGACCAACAGGCTTTCGTACCTTCATAAGGTCAGTGAGACCAGCCTCCTCTGGCTTGGGCTTTGGGCTGGGTGGAGTCCAGTCGTACATCTGGCTGGTCAGATCCTCCTGACTGCTCTTGGGAGAATCTGGGGTGCTTTATCAATGCCCTGTTTGAGCTGGCACAGGCCTGGCACATATAAACTCTTGTCTGTTGAATGAATTAATGAATGTTATGGATTTGACAACATTCACAACTCCATGTTCATGGTTAAAAACAATTCTGTTCTTCCTTGTGCTAGGTCCTTAAAACGCATATTGATAATTGCCCCTTAGAGTCAGACAGGCCTCGTGCTTCTTAAACTGAGGTGAATATTCTCCCAGAGGCACGTGGCTATGTGCTGGGCATTTATGAAGTCACAGCAGAGAAACAAGGCACATCTTTCCAAAGTGTCAGTTTCAGGAGGGAAACGTTTAAATAATTCAGTTGATAAATAATTTAACAGATTTGTTCTAATATAAAAATAACATGGTTACATTATAGAATATAATGCAAAATTTGCATGAATTTTAAAGACAGAATAAAGAAATTGTATTTTTGCTGCAGCCTGCAAAGTAAGGAATTGCCACTTAGTTTCCTGAGATTACTCGTTAATTTGCCTCTTCCCTGTGGGACACTTTGGGGCAATACAGGAGCACTTATTAGCTGTGTAACCCTAGGGCAAGTTAATGACCATCCCCGGACCTCAATGACTTCATCCTATAAAATGGGGATGAAGCTACCTGTGCCCTATGATTGTGTGTGTAAGTAAGATTAGTTAAGATTGCATAGAAACATCTAGCATGCGGCAAGTGAATAATAAATGTTAGTTTCTTCTTATAAGTGAAATTATATTTTTATACGTATATACACACCCACACACACACTCATATGTATTTATGCTATACATTAAAAGTGTCCTGCACAAAGTCTGGCACAAAGTAGGTTCCCATTAAGTATGTGCCAAACAAGTGACTCTAGATCCCTTCAACAAATGTGAATTGGCTACAACAGGGAATTGCTCCTTAGCAATTAATTGTAGCATACACTCTTCAAAGAAAGCCTCTGCTAGCACTCAGTGTTACTGTTGTTTTTGTCATTACTGGTTTTAATATTTCTACGTCGCACCTCAAAGTCACACTTTTCACAATTTTATTCACTAAGGCAAATAACTAGAAGTCTTGAGTCAGAAACCATTTTGTCAAAGGCTTTTCTCCAAATAAGTTTTATAAATTCCAACTCTAGCCTTCTGACATTCCTGATAGGCTGGTAAACAGCAGTATTGGCAGGAATTTTTGCCATTTCAGTAAACCTGAAGTAGTATTTGCCTGGTGATTTTGAGAAGGGCTTTGTGTTAGTTTGTGGGGTGGGGTGGGGAAGGAAAGCCCAGTGGAAAGAGCACACAGGGTCAGGCAGGTCTGGCTTCAGGGCCAAGTATATTACTTAGTAGCTGCATGCCTTTAGGCAAATCCCTTATCTTCTCTAAGTCTCGATTCCCTCATCTGCAAAAATGGGAATCATTGTTCCTGCTTTGCAGGATGAGGGGGGAGTTAATACATCATAAAGCACCCAGACTGGTGCCTGGTTCATGGGAGCTGCTTGTTAAATGGGAGTCTTGTGATCGTTGTCTCCATTAGCCAGTGGGAGTTTTCAAAAAAGTCAACAGGCACGTTATTATTTGCCCTGAAAATACTACCTAACTTGATACCTTCTGACTCATTTAGGAATTGCACTTGACTTTCAGTAATAGAATACCCATCTACAAATGGCTTAGTATAGTAGTGAGAGCAATTTTCTTCATATAACAGGAAGTTTGGCAATGGGGGGTTCTAGGGCTGGTTAATGACTCCACAACATGATCAATGTCCCACTTTCTGTCTTTCTGCTAATTCATCCTAAGCATGGCTTCCAGCTTCAGGGTTCCTGAAAGGTGGCTGCTCAAAATCCAGCCATCAGAGTCGAGGTCCAGGTGGTTAGATGGAAGAAGGGAGGAAGAGCAAAGGCTTCCACCAGATGAATTAGATCCCTTTAAGGAGCTTTCCCAAAAGCTGTATCCAATGACTTCCTCTTTCATCTTATTGGCCACTTCCATCTGCATGGGGAGCTGGGAAAAGGCGTTTTTCTAAATGTGCGTACCACTGTCCCATCATAATGAGAAAGAGGAGGAAGAGAACAGATGAGTAAGCAGTCTCTGCCCCTTTGTGATTCTTGGGCTTTAGAACACAGGGAAGTGGCTTAGTGACAGAGGCCACAGGTCACGAGGGTACTTGAGGCACTGTGGAAGCATTCGGGGACCCAAGAGAAAAATGAGGTTGGGCAAGATAGGGTGCTTCTCTCAGCATGTCATGTCCAGGGGCCCAGTCCTTCTGGAATCAATGCAAGAACTTTCTGGGCCCTCCCCACCCTTTGCACTGTTGCACGGAACCCTCAGTTCAAGAACAGAGAGAATGAAGGGGTGGCTCGGCTTCATGTGGACAACACCTTGGGAGCTGCAGGGAACACTGGCCCTGTGAGATCTGTCCTGTCTCCACCTCGTGTTGGAAAGGACTATATCTGGTCAACCTAACAACTCTTCCTGAGCTCCTGGTAGCCACAGGACAGTCAAAGATAAATAACAGAACCCTGCCTGCCCTTAAGGGTCTCTTAGTCTAACAGCACACAGGAACAAATCAGTAAATGCAGTCCTTTGGCAGAGTCACAGAGCAGTGGCTGAGGTCTCCCCAGTGTGGCTGTGTTCAGAAGCTGGAAGTACAGAATTGGGGATGCGTCGTCTGCTTGGTGAAATCAAGGCAGGCCCACAAGGGCAGGCAAGGTTGGGACTGGTAAAGCGGGAGTTTGCCAGGCAGGAAAGGGAGGAACACAGTTCCAGCAGTGGGAAGAGCCTGAAAGTGGATCGCATGTGTGGAAGTCAGAAAAGGTTTATCATCCAGGCTAAGCAGGTGGTGGAAACTGAAACGCTTCCTTTTTACTCCTAATAAGATCCTATCAAAATGTAAGAGAGGCCTGGTCGGTTAACTCACTTGGTTTGAGTGTGATGTTATAACACCAAGGTTAAGGGTTCGGATCCCTTACCAGCCAGCTGCCAACAAAACAAAACAAAACAAAACAAAAAACATGAGAGAGAGGGAGATAGTTGAAAAAAGATGGGTTCCATAAGCATCATGATCTCAGTTGCCCACAGGAGCAGCCAGGAAGCATAATGCAGCACCATGGGCTGGATAGAAAAGGCTGTGGAGGGTGGAGTTGTGGCAATCTGGAGAGCACGTGCCCTGTCCAAATGGGCTTAGTATCACCAGAGCTTGTGACTTTTCAAGAGCAGCTGGACATACTGATTTTTACATAGAATTTCAATGCACATATATAAATGTTGGCAATTCAAAAAAATAATTGTAAACACTGTGTGGGTTCAATCAAAGTGTGACTGCCCATAGTGGCCGTGAGTGGGTGACCTCTGGTGCAAGGGCAAGGAGATACATGTTAAGATGACTGCTGTGTTTATACCCACTCTTGGAAACAGAACAGAGAGTGGTTCTAGTGAAGAAGATTTCTAAAATGCTCACAGGCTGGAACTGGGTGATGTCAAAAATACAGCTGCAAATCTGTCTCTATGTGATAGGCTTTATGAGTTTCTGTCCTTTTGTTCACTATAATTAAGGGCATTTGCATAAGAAACCAATTTTTGTGATGTTAGAGACTGTTAGGTCCTGCAGCCATCGTTCTCAATCTGCAGCTGAACACCATTAGCAGGAGCAAGGGCGAACGTGACGATGGACAACCGTGTCTTCAGGTGGGGACAGGCAGCCCAAGCAGACAGACTCAGACAATGATCCTCTCCTTTCCTCCCTCCCCACCTAACACAGGCCTGTAGCAATTAAGGATGCAGGAAGAAATGGAGAAAATACTGCACAACCACTAATAGATTTTTCCTTTTAAAATGTACCAAGAAATCCCAACAGCAACTTCATGGTAAAAGATGATATTCTCTGCTTTTAGAGATATCAGAGTCTGTTCAGTCTTGCTGGCTAAATTTAACAGCATGCGTTTTCTCTTAACAACTCTGCTCTCTCTCCTTTCCACTTTGGTTTGAATTTTGCTTCATTATGAATTAACGATATTTATGCCATATGTTAAATTGAACCAAGTGCCCTTCTCAGGAACACTTGGAAAAAGACATATTCACTGGCGAGATACACACTCCTTGCAGAGCTCCCACGCAAACGGCAGCCGTTGAACTTGGCTTTCATTTGTGCTGCACACTCTTTCTTTCCAAGTTCCTTGAAGAGAACTAGAGGGAAGAAGAAAATAATAAACATTTCGATTGAATTTATTTTCAGTGTCCATCTCTCACAATGTGCTGCATAGATCAGCAGTTTTCGGAGTGAATTATGCTAATGCCAGTCTGGCCATATTCTGTTTTGCTTTTTTACCAAGAAATGAGAGGTAATGAACCGTCGTTCTCTTGTCTAGACTTAACTCTATCTAACCAGCTTTTTATGTCATTTCCTCAGGAGGCACATAATCATAGCACCTATTACCATGAATTAAGCATTTCTTTTTTTCCTTTTTAAAAAAATTTTTATAATAATTGCTGGGGTGTGGAGGCTTCTCTTTCTCTGAGAAATAAAAATTACCTGATTGAATCTTCAGCTTGACAGCTTTAAGGAAAATGCCTTTTTGCTATTCTCCTTCCATTGGATTACTTATTTGGGGAGCATCCTGTGTAATTCACTAAGGACACTTTCTCCAAATGCATCTTACATCAGAATTTGACATCAGTTTGCATATGCTGCATCTTCTATTATGGCAGCCGGGGAATTAAACAGTTTGCAAAAACTGGGTTTATTTCTAGGAAACGTAGCAGCATCTTTGCACCTTGAGCTTTTGCTTCGTGCAGGGCTGTTCTGCATTGAGATTCCTACTCGTCCCTTTGTGGATTCTGATCTCGGGTCACCTTTTGAATTAAAGGATGGTTTTCTCTCTTTTCCTTTTTTCCTTCCGCTCCCTTCCATCGTAAGAAGATATTAATACGCTTCATAATGGGTAGCTGTGGGGGGTTTTATTCTCTGAGAGGCAACATGATGTGTTAGAATGTTCTAGAATAGAAATGTAAGGGGCTTTGCTTCCCCCCTCTGTCACTACTCTTCAGTGACTTTGAAAATCTCCCCCTTCTATCATGATTCCTTTCCAACAATATTGTGAGATTCTATGCTTGCGATATCAATGGCCTTTAAAAATCCATGCATTTTAAACTGGAATTGTATACTTTTCCCTCTAAATGTTTAAATAATGTCTGTGTGTTTTAATAAATATTGATAATTGTTAGCTTTCACCTTATAGAAACCTCTCCAGGAAAAACAAGCTTCTTTTCTGCACAGAGAAGGATGAACATAAAAGAAATTCCATAAATAGAATTTCATGGAGTGGAAAAAGTTGGTTCCTAAATTTCCCGTGAGATGTCAGTAGTTGTTAAGAGGAAACGGAGATGATCATTTCAAATCTTTCTATACTTGGGCTGCTAATGAATTTGAATGATTTGTGATTCTCTCCCATCATATGTGCCCAAATTCCTTTGATTCTGAAAACAAAAACAAAAACAAACAGAAAAAGCCACATTTCTTCAAGCTGGCTCTACATTGTACAGGAGGGATGGGAACTTCTGCCACTTGCCCATGTGTGCCAGGCACTGAGATAGTGCTTGAAAGAGCCTCGTCCGGTGAGTAGCCTTATTCTCACTATACGAATAAGGAAATTGAGATGCAGAGAGCTTCCATGACTTGCTCAAAACACAGAGCAGAGTCAAGATTCAAACCCATGTTTCTTTGACTCCAAAGCTTGTTATTTCCATGTACATTTCTAGCTTATCCTTTCTTAAGAACGTTTCTGGTTTCTCATGTTACCGTATTTTTTGGACTACTCTTCCGCTGAATAATCTATCCTTCCATTCATTAGTCATTTGAAGGACTGCATCCCAGGGCATAAGGGGAAACTGCTCTCAAGGACTAAGAGCTGTCAAGGCTTCACATTTGACCCCAGACTCTGATCACTTACGTCCTCTGAGAGTGGTATCCAGGACCCATTCAGTTCTGCATTGCTCACTGCCTACACTTAGTGGGCATAGAGTAAAGTCTGTATTGTGTGGATGGATGGATGAAAAATTCATTGCAAAGTCTTGATGTCTTGACTGTTGGAGCCATTTCCTGTTTGAGTCCATTGAGAATGTTGGTGACCATGACAATAAACCTGGGAGAACCTGTCTCCAAGTGACTCTGGTTGTTTTACCCCTAGCCATCAATCCCAAAGCTTCCCAACTGGAGCTCTCTAGAGGCTCCAGGCCTACTGGTCCCTGGCCTGAGACTTTGTGTCTTGGCTCCTGGGTTCCTCCTGTGGCCCTTGGCTGGGCCACCTCCCCACAACTCCCAAACTCACTACTCTATCTGGATGTGGAGACCAGCTGTGTGATCTTGGGCAAGTCATGTCCCTTCTCTTGAGCCTCAGCTTACTCTTCATTGAAATAGGACTAAGAATACCTCCCTCATAGAGTGGATATAAGGATTCAGAGAACAAATGGGCAGGAAAGGGCCTGGCATACAGATGGTGCCCAAGAAATGCCTACAGAATCAAAATTCTTTTGAAGCATTTCCTGTCCACTGCAGCCAGTGCAGATCCTTCCCTCTCAGTCCAGATAGCAGATGTTGCAACCAACTGTATTTGCAGGCATCGCTAGGGAGGATGAGTTACCTTGAAAGGGGATAAATGGAGAACTCTCTTGGTAAATTACAGCTGCTGCTAAAGGTTTGACACTTCTATTTTCTACTTGTCAGAAGAAAATAACTATATACCACTGGTCAGTGTGGTTTCCCTTTTTATACTCCATTAACCCACAGAGCAAACCAAGCAGCACTGTCGTCCTGTGGGATAGCAGGTGGTCCAAAGGACACTGATATGATAATTAGAGAAAACCTGTGGCCGTTCCTAATGAAGCTTTGGAAATTAGCAGTGCAGGTTGTTCGAATACCTTGTGAGAGACTGGAACAATGTCCCCAGCAGAACCCAATAGAGATAGCCATCTTGGTGACAGGTGATGTAAAAAGCTCTGCGTCCACTGACATGTTGTTACTAGGGCTCAATAACTGTGCACTGATGTGCTTTGAAGTCTGCCACAGTGACTTGTGATTGAAGGAGCCCAGGAGGAAGCAGGATGTGAATTAATGGCCTGGGAAATAGGGGAGGGAAGAAAGGAAGGGAGAAGGGAGGGAGGGCAAGCAAGTGCACCCACGTACCAGGAGCACCAGCCTCATCTGGCACCGTGCTGGGCACACTCCTGGCACCATCACTAGGGGTGTGCATGGGCTTGGAGAGGGGGCTCTGAATGCCCAGATCCTGCTTGCCAATCACCTCCCTGTCCTGTTCCTAAGGGAGCTATTCACACAAGGGATAATGATAAATGGGCAATCACAGAACCACTTTGTCATTAGCTGGGGCAATGGAGGTGGATACGTTTGAAAAGTTGAAAGCAGCATTGAATGTAGTTCTGCCAACCTGACAGCTGGCCCAGAGGTCTAGCTTTCAGGACTCCCAGGGCAGATCCAGACTGCCTGGGGACTCACCTCCCAGCACGATCCTGTTCAGGAGGGTAGTGCACCCGGATAAGCCAAGAGCTGCCTCTAGTCTGAACAGAGAGCCTGAGCCCTTGTACTCAGACACTGACCGGTGTGCGCCATTTCTCCAGAATGGGTAGGGTCACTCCCTGAAAGGTCAGCCTCAGGCAGCCTCCAAGGCCAAGATGGTTCTAACTCTGGAAGAGAGAAATGGAAAGGCGGAGACAGATCAGGAAGGGAACTAACAATCACAGTGGGCCTACCACATGCCAGGCACCGTGCCAGGTCCTTGGCACACACTTGCCACCTTAACAATCATGTGGGCAGGTATTACTATGTTCATTTTAGAGAACAGAAAATAAAGGCACAGAAGGTCGCAGTCAATTGCCCATGGTCACACAGCTAGAAAAAGCAGCAGTCAGGATTTCAATCCTGATCTGATGCCCAAATCATGCTGTTTTTCATATACCAGAGTGCGTCCCCACACTTCCAGATGAAAAAAACAGAGATGGGGAGAATTGTAAGCACCCCTCCATGTCTTGGACAGGGAGTATCCTGGCTGAGGTCAAACTGTGAAAACCTGGTTTCTGTGGCCCGTTGGCACCTCAGCAAGAGGAATATCCAGAGCTCAGAGGCCTGCCCCCTCCTTCCTGTCTTTTCCAGCTGAATCCCCCAAAGTCAGGGATGAACTTCAAGGGGCCTCCCCAACAATGCTGTCTCAGCCCACACTAAGAGGTGTGGACCCAGCCTGTGCCATTCTGCACTATAAATCTTGGGCTTAGTGTGACTGATTCCAGGCTTATGTAAAACTTTCAGGTGACAGATTAAGATGGGTGAAGTGCAGAAGCCCTGTCTGTAGATTTGGCCTTGGGGACTCATCTGGTGAACACTTCCAGTAGGGAATTGCTTCTGGACAACTGTGATGGCTTCAGCCTGTGCCGGTGATGTACTGTCATCACTGGGTCATCTGAGCGTAACATCATCAGCAGTCTGGATGCTGGCAGGGAAGGGCAGTGCCACAGGCCCAGCTTTTCTTCCTCGTCCCACAGACTATTCAGTAGGAAGATGAAGATGTCCTCATAGGGTGTGTTTTTGAAATGCGGAATTCTTGTTTCCCTTTTGGAGCAGGCAGGGACCTACATTGCTGGGTAAGGTCAGGCTGATACGCAGTGACTTGTAATAAAGACTACCTGTTTTATAGGTGAGGAAACTGAGGCTCAGGACAGTGAAATAGTTTAACCAGAGCCATGCAGCTTCTTAGTAGCTGAGCCAGGATTCAACTTAAGACTTGCTGTCCTAAGGTGCTGCCTCGGCCAGCCTGGTGGCGCACTGCTACAGTGCGCCGCTTGGGAGCGTGGAGGCGCTCCTGCCGAGGGTTCGGATCCCATGTGGAGACCGGTTCCTGCTCGCTGGCTGAGCGAGGTGTGGGCGCAACACTGAGGGTTGTGATCCCGTTGCCGGTCCCGGTCCGGTACAGGCGTGACACTGAGGGTTGCGATCCGTTGCCGGTCACGAAAAAAGACAAAAAGGAAAAAAAAAATTTTATTTTCTAAGGTGCTGCCTCTTTCCAGCCCATTAGACCTCTATTCAAACAAACGGCTGAACTTACAGGAACCCATGGGATCTAAACTCAACTTAGCCTTCTGGACAACTTTTCTCCCTCATTCCCAGCCATAAACCCTTTAGCAGTCCAGCTTTGGGAAGGGAGGGCATTCCAACAAGGAACACAGCCCAAGCAAAGACATTGTCTTAGTCAGTTAGGGCTGGTCTAACAAAAATACCACAGACTGGGTGGCTTAAACAACACACATGTATTTCTCACAGTTCTGGAGGCTGGGAAGTCCAAGATCCAGGTGCCCATAGGTCTGATGTCTGGGGAGAGCCCGCTTCCTGGTTTGCAGACAGCCACCTTCTCCTTGTATCCTCACCCAGCAGAGAGCAGAGATAGGAAGCAAGCTCTGTCATGTCTCATCTTATAAGGGCACTAATCCCATTCATGAATGCTCCACCTTCATGGCTTGATCACCTCCCAAAGGCCCCACCTCCTAATACCATCACATTGGGGGTTAGGATTTCCACCTATGAATTTTGGGGGAAATAAACATTCAGTCTATAACAGTCATGGAGGCAGGTGCCAGTCCAGCAGTAACACCTCTCCCTTCCCATCTTTGGCAGGAACTGCAAGCTCAGCAGCAGCAGCTTGTCTATGGCTGCCGTGGACATTCTCTACATTGATATCACAAGGAGGTGGAACTCCATGACCCAGGACCAGCGGGACTCAGGTACCTGGTGACTGCCTCCTGGTGGGGGTCCCGGCAAGCACAGGCAGTGCATTTTCTGCTGCTTCTGGTTAAGGTTGTAGGTGAGGGGAAGGAGGAAGAGGATCCTATCAGGTCTAGACATCGTTCCAGGGATTGAGCTGAAATTAAATTCTGGGGCACTGTCAACTCCCAAGGCTGTGCACACCCAAATTCTAATTCCACCATTAGCATTCCTTGCCTTTGCTAAGGCTTTGACTCCATCTACAGCAGGGATGCTCAGTTATTCGTTCACCCATTCGCCCCTCAGCACATATTTACTGAGCATCTGCTGGGCCAGGTCTTGGATAGACTGGAGCGAATAGCTCTTGGTGCTTGCCCTGAAGGAGCTCACTGTAGAGTTGGGAGGCAGATGAGAAAACGACGCTAGTGTGGTGCGGCGCGGGCTAGGATGGAGGGAAACCCGGCACAGGAGCTGCTCATCAAGAGGGCCAGGGAAGACTTCTTGGAGAAGGACGTGTGGGATAAGTGAGTGAACAGTGTTAGGACAGACACCGGCCTTGGCATAGACACATGCAGGAGGGCTGTTGAGCTCAGGCCACCCCTAGTAGCTCAAATGGGCTGGAGCACCAAGGGAAGGGAGTAGAGGTAGAGGTGGGGTTGCAGGATCTGCCAAAGCCTTGAATGCCACACAAAAGAATTTGATCTTGACCTTCTAAGTTAGGTGATGAAGGATTCCGTTAGAAGAATCCACCTTTGGGTGGATAAGTTTCTGACCTTTTTCCTCACAGAAGATGTTTTTCTAAAAAGTTGTGATGACCATAGCTGACATTTGCACAGCTCATCGCAAAACTGTGAAGTCCTTTCATGCATATTCCCTCATTAAATGTCCCCATGAACCAGTGCAGTAGGCGCTATGAGTCTCATTTCACAGATGAGCAAATGTCAACTCAGGCCCCCAAGATCACACAGTCACCACAAGCCACCAGCACCCGGTGCACACGCTTCCCCTCCACTCGGCTGCCCCCCTAATCCCCACCCCTGTGAAAGGGATGTGCAGAGGAGGGGTGCCTCGGGGAGCAGCCTGCTCCTGTAATCTGATGGAGAGGACATGAAGTCAGAGATTGGGAGGTCCAGATTAGAGTTGCCTATGCCATTTCCTACCGATGTCAGCCTGAAAAGTCATTTCACCTCTTAATGTCCTTATCTGTGAAATGGACCAGTAGCACCCGTTCTCAGGGTTGCCCTGAGATCTCACGTAGCCGTGGATACAAAAGCATTTGGAGTCATCGCTGACAGTGCAAGGCAGTTAATCTCATCAGTGGACACCACTTGGGGACAATCCCAGGGTTGGTCTGCCTCACAGCTGCTGCTCCCCTGGAAGATCTGTCCCCCACCCATGTGGGCTGGAAACTTTCCCACCACAGAGACGTGGCAGGTCCTTCCTGCAGTGCGCCGGAGCTCAGGCATCATTTGCTGCTTGGCTTGGTGTTTGGTTATAATGCTACCAGCTACCAGTAGTTGGCTGTTTCGTATATGCCAAGCACTTTGCATGTGCAGCACTGGCTAGGATTCCTCTGGAGGTAGGTATGATTATCTCTGTTGTACAGAGGAGAAAACTGAGTGAAGCTCAGAGACGTGGCTGGTGGGTAAGGTTCAAACATAAAGCCACCTCAGCTCCCCTTCCAGATAGCTTCTCCTACTCGTTTGTCCTGGAGTGAGGTGACCACGGAGCTCTCTCTCACTCCCCTTTCTTTAATTCAAAAAGCAAACTCCCAGGAACACCGGTAGTCACTGAGTCAACAAGGTGAGGGCTTCTATCGCATCTCTGCAGTTGGCAGCTCCGTTACAGCCTTCCCTGGCAACCAGGAGAGGCGTGAGATGGAGCATCTTCGGGAGAAGTAGGCAGATTAATTATCATTTTGAGGACAGAGAGTGCTCATGTGACAATCGAGCAGCAGCACTTTCTGCTGACGCCTTCAGAAAGTGAAGAAGTGTTTGCTCTGTGAGCTGAATGTGGGGAGTCATCACAGGATCCTGTGGAGGGGGCCAGATGAGGGGGTGGGGGTGGCCGTGGAATTATTAAATATTGAAATTGATCAGGAGTAGCAGCAGGAAGCTATTTATCATGTTTTATTGCTTCAAACTCGCATTACCATCTGGCCCATTGTTAATTCTGAGTAGCTTTTCATGTTTTGTTTGCCTGTTAAATTGCTCCCTGTAAGCGAATCCACAGGGGCTGTCCACAATACAGGCTCCGGTGAGGCTGCTGGGGTCTGCCGGGGTCTCTCCACTCTGCTGACCAAGCTCAGGACACAAGAGAAATCCTTATTTTTAGCACATACCGACGAGCGAGGTCAGGGCTGGCATCTGCTGGGCCCTTCACCATACCCCAGCCCCTGAACACGGGGAGCAGCCATCGTTAGTGGTAGCAGCAATTTTGAGATTACCACGTATGTGCATATATCACGGCTAATCCCTACAGCAGGCCTTCGAGGTGGGTAATAGTATCCCATTGTACGGAGGAGAACCATGAAGTATTCCAAGGGCAAACACGACTTGTCTAAAATCTTATAGCCAGTGACTAGCAGTGGCAAGATTTGAGCTCAAGCCCCTGGCCTGCTGGCCCACGGTGCTGTCCCCAATCCAGGGCCACACCAAGCAGTGCTTGCTCACGTGAGTGGCGGGAGATGGAGCGGACAGCAGCGTCCGTGAGGCACAAGGTCAGCTCACGCAGCACAGGGCCTGACTCAAGCCCCTGGCCTGCTGGCCCACGGTGCTGTCCCCAATCCAGGGCCACACCAAGCAGTGCTTGCTCACGTGAGTGGCAGGAGATGGAGCGGACAGCAGCGTCCGTGAGGCACAAGGTCAGCTCACGCAGCACAGGGCCTGCGGGAGGACGGAATGGGAGCGGGGGCGCATGCCTTGTCCAGGCTCCTGTCTCCCCTTCCTTCATCGAGTTTATACTCCTGTTTCCATCACTCCCAAAAGGAAATAACAGGCTCTGGGGGTCTTAGAAGTGGGTCTGGGCACTAAAGCCAGGAGTGGGAAGCCTCTCTGTGCCCATGGTCCCAGGGGCCACAGCTGTCTTGTGACCGGTGCCAGTCGGGGCCCGGTTGTTGCCACCTCTCAGGCTGCTCTGACATCCCTGGTTCTCAAGGTGAAGGAGCATCTGGAGCCAGCCACCTTCATGGGAACATTCAGGAAGCTATTGGATAGCAAAAGAAGAGATTCATGGTCAAGTGGTGGTTCTGTCTTTTGGCAAGTGACAACAGAAAGACCAGAGAGTTTTCCTTCCTTCCCTCCATGCAGAGCCAGGGGATTCTCAGGCCCTCGGTTCCAGTTAAGTCCTGGCGAGAAGTGTGGGTGCCCTGCTGAGGGGACAGCTCTGCCCCTCAGCTCTACCCCAGAGCTGCTGTGGGGTTGACAAGAAGTCTGTGAAAAGCGGTAGGACAGGGCTGTCAGTCTCAAAGAGTGTTCACCCATTCATTCACTCATTCATTCATTCAACACACAGGTAATGCACATTTTACTGGATATTGGGCCATGTGGGGATATAAAGATAAATATTTTTACAGATGCTATCCTACTAAGAAAAAAACATAGAGACCATTTATCATACATTCACTCTGTGCAGAAGGAAAAATGCTTGTTATGAATTATCTCAGTTAATTTTCACATACTCCTCTGAGGTAGGAGTTGTTATTTCCGCCCAATGGATGAGAAATGGGAGGCTTAAAGATGTGAAGTTAAACAGACATGCTGAGCATCAATTACAGTGGGGACCCTGGGATTTGAACCGAGACCAGTCTGACTTCAGAGCCCATTGTCCTTTCCATTATACCCGGTGTCTCTCAGTCACACAAATGCGTACAACGCACAGCTGACAATTGTAACCGGGTGTGATCAGAGCTGTCGTGGGAGAAGCAGCAAAGGAGGCGTGCTGTGAGGGTCTGGAGATAACACATACAGGTACTCAGCATGGTGTGTGACCTAGAAAAGGCACCAACTGTGTGTCCTGCCTCCTGGCCCAGGATGCTGTCCCCAATCCAGAGCCTAACACGTGGCCTAGAACTGCAAAAGCAACTCACCAAATGGCCAGTGAGTGATTGATGAATGGACAAAAGCCAAAATAAAAGACGCCCGCGTCCTCAAAGCAGGGAGTTCTGGATATGAAACCATGGCTTA